CCCTGACTTGTGCACACAAAGGACTGCTCTTGTCAAGGACTCTCATGACTTAATTTGGAGCTTTCGTGACTGCAGGAATTATTCTTTGGTTCTTTCGGTAAAGTGACGTATAAAGATAAAATAATAAAATAAATTAAATACTAGCATACGACGTTTCGATTGCAACACAAGCAATCATCATCAGGTATAAATTAAATAGAAACACAAATCTAGTATACTTAGAAATGTAATGTAATACAACAGAGAGTCGGATAACATAACAGTCAACACCCTACCTGGTTGATTACGTTCTTCCTGAGAATGCTAAATTTGAGAGAGAGATTATGGTTCTGGTTCTGTGTTTGATCTCTCTCTCAAATTTGGCATTCTCAGGAAGAACGTAATCAACCAGATAGGGTGTTGACTGTTATGTTATCCGCCTCTCTGTTGTATTACATTACATTTCTAAGTATAATAGATTTGTGTTTCTATTTAATGTATACCTGATGATGATTGCTTGTGTTGCATTCGAAACGTCGTATGCTAGGTATTTAATTTATTATTTTATCTTCATACGTGACTTTACCGAAAGAACCAAAGAGTACTCTCATGACGTGTAATGCCTGCGAGCTCATAGACATTGTGACAGCAGCAGAAGGTCGCTGTTCCTCTCGTGTCCTTGGGCAGCGATGTTGCAATGCCGGGATACGTTGCTGGCGAGCGTCTATTGCGCACACGGTGACACAGGCACCAGGTACCCAAAGCCAATGTGGACTTCTTCACATTTGAAGTCCCAAACAGCACGGAACACTCATTCATATGAGGCAGATGACCTTGAGAAGGAGCATGCCAGATACCAGAAGCCAAGAACGGCACCTGTTTTTTAAAAATCCTTTATATTAAGTTCACTTGCTTGCTTGCGTGATTGCGTGCGTGCTTGCTTACGACCGTGCAAATCTTCCAGTCGTTTTTTAACCCACTTCCCGTGATCCAATCGAGCTGACATTTTCCACACAGACTCGTTGTGCGTGACGATTAATTTTCGTGAAAAAAAATTTCCCAAATTTTACACTGTGTAGGGAATTTTTAAAAAAATATTTAATTAACAATTGCTTAATGGTGGCAGACAATCATCTGACCCATAGGTGGCAGCCATCTCAAGCCAGAGGACGAGAGGACTCTAGCCGCCACGCATATAAAGGATTTAAAGTGAAAAACTTTGTTTTCACGGGTTAATTTTTGCGAGGTTTGAATTACAATACTTTGTCCAACACACACTCGTACACCCTTAGCCTCGCTCACCCACATAAGCATTACACATTTTCAAAAGAACCCCTGTGCGGCCGATGCTGACTGTGCTGACTGTTGGGGCAATGCGATTTGCTGGTAGTCGTGAAGGCTGCAATGGTGGTGGGGTGGCCAGCACCACGCCTGTCTCCCCAACGCTGAAGCTGACGTCACACGCCGGCTACTTACTCACTTAAGGCTCAAAGCCAAGGGAATGCCCAGGAACGGTTCCTATATTTGCAACCGAGTTAGAAGTGGCTGCTGGACATTTGTATTCAGATCACCACGTTTGTAGCGCATTTCACTAACCAGCACGCCACATGTCTGCCCGCCCCACATACACAGAGGCACACTATCAGTATGCAACCGAGGAGGCAAAAGATGAGCCGGGCCAACTTGTATTGGCACACAGCGGGGTTAATCGAAAGAGCATCATCATCACGGTGCCTAGGAGATGTTAACTACCTCCCCTGGTATACAAGAGGTCGTGGGTTCGATCCCGACTAACGCCTGCTGCTGTATATTTGAAATCTGCGTGTCTCTCTCTCATCATCATCACGGTGGCTAGATGTTGACTACCTCGCCTGGTATACAGGAGGTCGTGGGTTCTATCCAGGCCCTGATGCCTGCTGCTGTATATTTGGAGTTTGCGTGTCTCTCTCACCATCATCATCATCATCACGGTGGCTAGGAGATGTTGACTACCTCGCCTGGTATACAGGAGGTCGTGGGTTCGATCCCGATCCTAACGCCTGCTGCTGTATATTTGAAGTCTGCGTGTCTCTCTCCCCGTGGCCACGTGGATTTCTCTCCGGGTTTTCCCTCCACATGTAGAATCACAAGGCCCTCAAGAGTGTGTGCATGCTTTAATTTCACCGGTGGGGTAAAATGTGGGTGGTGGTGGTCAACATTTCCGACTGGATATCTGTGATGAAGAGCTTCACTGCTCATCGGATTCCTCCAAGATACATCATCACCGATTCTGTGTAGTCCCACCTCTCCTAAAACAAAGTATCGGCCAGCGTGGAAGAGTAGGCCAAGTTACATCCCACGGAGGCTCTCTCTCCGGAGCTCCCTCGAGAAAACCTTCCGTGGCAGCGGTGACGCGAGCACTTGCAGGACTGCACCTTTACCCATCGGCATTAGCCGCTTGAAGTCTGCTCCTGTGACCGGGTTACACGTCAACATCGCTACGAGTGTATTTGGGTGAAGTTATTTTTACAACGGCCGAACGTACACACACGCAATGCGCATGCATCGTGTGCATGCGTGATCAACATACGTTGTGTGTGTCGATATAACCCAGTCAGTGACAGACACCCGCTGTCATTCACGACGACATTCACTCCCCACCCCCCCTTCTGGTCTGCACAACTGATTGCCGAGTTTGTGTTTCGCAATCGGAAGAGGCGTTTGGTTCGTTACTGGAGAAATCTGCCGAGCCACGCGGCTTATTTGTGTTTATTTACACAGATTTCCGGCAAGTTGCAACAAAGAAAGTGACACAAACAACAACTTCTGCTCTGTGTGTGTTGAACTTCTTTCGCACCGTACGTAGCCCAGCCGCGCTGATCCACTCGCTGTTCACTACTCACGATGTTTGTCGTTTGCCTTTGCTGCTGTTTAGTTATTTGAGCGGCGCCTCAACGCTGAAGGTCACAGGCAGTCTCAGTCCAGGGCCGTTCAAATAAGTGACTTTCATATTCTTGGTTCTTTCGGTAAAGTCACGTAGAAGGGGAATTATAAAATAATGTAAATATAAAACAATAAAATGTCTCACGTTTCGACTGCAACACAAGCAATCATCATCATCAGGTGTGAAATCCACAGCAAGAACATTTTTAAAATGTTTTTTTCTGTGGATTTCACACCTGATGATGATTGCTTGTGTTGCAGTCGAAACGTGAGAAATGTTATTGTTTTTAATATTGTATTATTTCCCTTCTACGTGACTTTACCGAAAGAACCAAGAATATGAATCCCTGCAGTCACGAAAGCTTTAAATCGAAATTTAAGTGACTTTCATTTGACCGACGTCGCACGTACAAACACACTGGGCTCGCAACGTGACGCCAATCATTGACTCAGAAGGTCAAACAACCCAGAGGTCACCGCTCCGTCACCCGCCGTCGCTACGGCAGCTGAACCAATGGACATGTTTCTCAAACGCACCCAGCCACCACCCGGTCCAGTCGGTGGGGTAGAGTGTGGGCTACCCCCACTCTGGTGTGTTCTCCCACGGCGTCTGTAGACGTCAGCGTGGAAGAGTAGGCCAAGTAGCCCATCGAGGAGCTCTGTCCAGAGCTCCTCAAGAGTGGGAAGGCCGTTCTGCCAACAAGAGCCTGAGTAGGGGAATTGCAGGGACTGCACCTTTATCTTCTTTTATCAGCGGATGCCTTGGAGTGAATGGTCAGCGGCGGATCTACAGTTCCTCACTGGCTGTCGTGTGTGTGGTGTAGTGTGTGGTGTGTGTGTGGTGTAGTGTGTGTGGCGTGGTGTGCGTGTGGTGTAGTGTGTGGTGTAGTGTGTGGTGTAGTGTGTGGCGTAGTGTGTGGTGTGTGTGTGGTGTAGTGTGTGTGTGGCGTGGTGTGTGTGTGGTGTAGTGTGTGGTGTGGTGTAGTGTGTGTGGCGTAGTGTGTGGCGTGTGTGGCGTGTGTGTGTGGCGTAGTGTGTGTGGCGTGTGTGGTGTGTGTGGTGTGTGTGGCGTGGTGTGTGTGGTGTGTGTGTGTGTGGCGTGTGTGTGTGGCGTGGTGTGTGTGGCGTGGTGTGTGTGTGTGGTGTGTGTGGCGTGTGTGGTGTAGTGTGTGGTGTAGTGTGTGGTGTAGTGTGTGCGTAGTGTGTGTGTGGTGTGTGTGTGTGGCGTGTGTGTGGCGTAGTGTGTGTGGCGTGGGTGGTAGTGTGTGGTGTGGTGTGTGTGGCGTGGTGTGTGTGTGTGGTGTGTGTGGCGTGTGTGGTGTGTGTGGTGTGTGTGGCGTGGTGTGTGTGTGTGGTGTGTGTGTGTGGCGTGTGTGTGTCGCGTGTGTGTGTGGCGTGGGTGGCGTAGTGTGTGTGGCGTGTGTGGTGTGTGTGGCGTGGTGTGTGTGTGTGGTGTGTGTGGCGTGTGTGTGTGTGGTGTGTGGCGTGTGGTGGCGTGTGTGTAGCGTGTGTGTGGCGTGTGTGTGTGGCGTGGGTGGCGTAGTGTGTGTGTGGCGTGTGTAGTGTGTGTGGGTACTTTAACCGTACACCCTGTGGTTCGTGAGCCAAATCCTTAGCAAGTTTCATCCACACACACAGATAAAGAGACAAAAATGACTTTTATAGGTGAAACACTGCATACAAGTGCAGTGCGAAGTCGTGTGAAGTAGTAGATTCAGTGTGACGCGGCTCGCAGGGAAGGGTGCGACGGACCTCGCTGTGAATCCCAACAAGCGCCGAGTGAACGGTGCCTAGATTTGGCAAACGCGGCGTTAACGAGAACAAAGGAATAAATGGAACAACGGCACTTGGTCGCTAAGCGCATTCAAGTGGCGACGTCACAAAACAACGGCGCTTCCACATCGTGAAGATGAAGCGCATGCAGAGTGTATAGTAGGGTAGTGCATAGTGCAGTGTAGCTTGTGGAGTGTCGCACGCGAGTGAAGTGTGTATAGTAGACGCAGCTCGTAGTGAGGAGTACACGCTGGATGTCGATGCCCTAAACAACTTTGTGGGGGTCGCGATCTCAGTCGAGGCCCCCCCTCCACTGGGGCTGGAGGCTACTTGCAAACGAATTGATCGACGGTCCACGGGCAAAGCTTGCACTTGACGTTCTGCTTGAGCTGTTCCTTGCACCCACACTGCGTCTCCAGCGTGACTGGGAGGGAACAGCAGAGGGGAGAGAGCTCACGAGGTCGTCGCTATTGTGCGACCGCCGTTAACGTCGAGGTGAACAAAATCTCCGCGCACTTCTCCTCCCGACGTCAAACGACCAGAGGTCGCAACCGGGTACCCGATACCCGTACCCTACCCGACACCAGTACCCTACCCGATACCCGTACCCTACCAGATACCCGTACCCTACCCGATACCTGTACCCTACCCGATACCTGTACCCTACCCGATACCCGTACCCTACCCCATACCCGTACCCTACCCGATACCCGTACCCTACCAGATACCCGTACCCTACCCGATACCCGTACCCTACCCGATACCCGTACCCTACCCGATACCCGTACCCTACCCGATACCCGTACCCTACCCCATACCCGTACCCTACCCGATACCCGTACCCTACCCGATACCCGTACCCTACCCGATACCTGTACCCTACCCGATACCCGTACCCTACCCCATACCCGTACCCTACCCGATACCCGTACCCTACCCGATACCCGTACCCTACCCGATACCTGTACCCTACCCGATACCTGTACCCTACCCGATACCTGTACCCTACCCGATACCCGTACCCTACCCGATACCCGGCTACCCGTACCCTACCCGATACCCTACCCGATACCCGTACCCTACCCAATACCCGGCTACCCGTACCCTTCCTGATACCCGTACCCTACCCGATACCCGATACCCGTACCCTACCCGATACCCGTACCCTACCCGATACCCGGCTACTCGTACCCGGCCGGGTAGCCGGGTAGCCGTTTGCGACCCTGGTGCGGCCGGGTACGGGTTAGGCCGTGAGTCACTGGTGAGTCACCGTTTGTCACTCATTTCGGGTAGGGTACGGGTAGGGAACGGGTAGGGTACCTGTTTGCGACCCTGGTGCGGCCGGGTACGGGTACGAGGGGTTAGGAATCAAAACCCGTTAGCGACCTCTGCGAATGGTCCCGACGATATCCCTTGGAGCGAGCTGAGGCTCACGGAAAGCAGTTCCACAGAAACGCATTTTGGATGTAATTGCGTGGTGTCCGGTACTGTACAGTAGTGACGACTAGTGTACAGTGGTGAAGGGACAGTGTGAATAGAGAGAGACGGTGATGCGTGGCCAGGTGGTCATTACAGTCGTGTAGAGTCGTGCTGTAGAGTAGTGTAGTGTGTAGTGTATAGTGTAGTGTGTAGTGTAGTGTATAGTGTGTAGTGTAGTGTGTAGTGTATAGTGTAGTGTGTAGTGTATAGTGTATAGGATGTGATGTATAGTGTAGTGTAGTGTATAGTGTAGTGTATAGTGTAGTGTAGTGTGTAGTGTATAGTGTAGTGTAGGTTGTGAGTGTGTAGTGTATAGTGTATAGGATGTGATGTATAGTGTAGTGTAGTGTATAGTGTAGTGTATAGTGTAGTGTAGTGTGTAGTGTATAGTGTAGTGTATAGTGTAGTGTAGTGTGTAGTGTATAGTGTAAAGTAGTGTATAGGATGTGATGTATAGTGTAGTGTGTAGTGTAGTGTATAGTGTAGTGTATAGTGTAGTGTAGTGTGTAGTGTAGTGTGTAGTGTAGAGTTTGTACGTTGAACTTCTTGACACTGTACACAGCCAGCCATGCGCTCAGGAGGTGCGGGGGAAGGTGTCAGTTTTTGCACCAGTTGAAAGGGTAAAAACCCATCACTATATTTTGCCACTGGTAAAGGAGATGTCTCATAGTGAATAGTTTTAGTCTATTTTCGGAGGGGGGGGCCCACCTTGTGAGATGTCGTATCCTCTGTCACAGCACGTGACGGTGCACCCCTCGGGTAGCTCGGTGTCGTTGCAGCGCTGCCCCGCACCCCCCGCGCTGCTGGTGTTGCCACGGACGCAGTGCTCCGGGCTGGCGTTCACGTGGACCAAGTCGATCTCCGAGGGCGCCGTCAACCACTCGTTCACCGGCTCCAGGCGCCAGCGGGCGGCGCCGCTGCCGCTGCCGCTCCTCTTGTCCCTCACCAGCCGCATGGCGGAACTTCTCTCGTACTTTTCCTGCAGCCGCCATTGACATCGTCGTCGTCGTTGTCGTCATCATCGTTGTCGTCATCGTCGGATTAATCCTGCGGGTGCAGTCTCGTCACCGGCAGCCGTGAGCTCACCTTCAGAAAGTCGCCAACGTCGCGAAAGTCTTCGCGCAGCGGCAGGCAGACTCTGTGGCATTCACCGGTTCTGTTGTCGCAACCGCAGTAGTAGTACGCCAGGTGTTCCACCACCTACAGCACCACCACCACCACCGTCATTGTTACTACCACAGTCAGTCACCACCACCACCGTCATTGTCACTACCACAGTCACCACGACCGTCATTGATACTACCACAATCAGTCACCACCAACACCATCATCATTCGTCACTACCAACCGCCATTCGCCACTAAGTGGCGGTGACATCACCACGGCGCTTGTGCCAGGCTAAGTGCACCTTGAGGCCACGTGAAGTGTCCAACGCCCGCTGGCAGGAGGTCACGGGGCAGACCCAGCAGGTGCCACGGGTCGACTGACTGAGATGACTGGCTGATGCACCACCTGTGCCCCCTACTGTGCCAACTTGCTGTGTTTTAGCGACCCGGCGCTCCGCTCGTTGTTGTGAGCGTCACTCCTCCACCCTCCGTTGTTGTTGGAGGGCGACTGCCTCCAACTGCCCAGTAGCGTCCTTCACGAGCCTCCTCCACTGAGGCCGATCTTGACACCGCTGGTACCGGTCATCGGCAAGTCCACTCAGCTCCACGTCCTCCTGTACCACATCACTCCATCTCTTCTCTAGCCCGTGCCGCACCCAAGGGTAGTGGCGCAAAGCCAGGCTGCTACCTGCAGGAGCAGCAGCTCAACAGCTCATGACGAACCACGAGCGTGCCGACTTGGGGGGTTAGATCGGCAAAGTCACGTAGGTAGACAAATAAGAAATCACATTTCAACCTGCAATACAAGCAATCGGGTGGAAAGATACAGCAGCAGAACTGCTGAACAAGACAACCCCTAGACAACCAAGCCGAGCCAACTATATAAATGTGCAGCATCTCATAAAATGATACTTTTTCGATTTAAAGCTTTCGTAACTGCAGGGATTCATCTTCTTGGTTCTTTCGGTAAAGTCACGTAGAATGGAAATAATAAAAGAATAAGAATAAAATAATAAAATAGCCGTTTTATTTTAATTATTTTATTATTTCCATTCTACGTGACTTTACCGAAAGAACCAAGAAGATGATAATTTTTTCCATAAAAAAACATTTCATACGACAATACCCATAAGCCACCCGCCCACTCACCACGCGACCGACTTCGTAGTTGTGCAAATCCATCTGCACGAGTTTCGCCAAAGACTTGCGTTGTCCCCCTCGCCTCCAGCGGTCGTGAACGCTCGCGTCCACAAACACCTTGGCGAAATGGACTCCGTATTGGATGTTGTCTCCGTGGTGCAGCAAGGGGTCGTAGGTCCAGTTGCAGCTGTCGCGGATCAGCTGCGAGGTGTAGCAGGCGCGCGCCACCACGTGCACCACGCCGGCGGAGGTGAGGGCGGTGAAGAAGGCGGCCTCGCGAGAGCCTGGGGGGCCCACCACCCCCCCCGCCCACAAAACAATTTCATCATTTGTCTATAACGGAGATTGTCGTTTCTCTTTCTAGCGGAGGTCGCCGAAATAGAAACGTCACGTCGTTAAAACAGCCGCCGCGTCTGACGGGCAAGGCTTCGGCACGCAGACAGAACGTGGCGAATCGTTGACTTCTGCAGTGACAGGGTGGCCCCTGTTGGCAGGAGGGGTAATCACGAGTGTGGGCGCGTCACACAATGACCAACTAGAAGGGGGCGTGTCTGGGTTAGCGGTAGAAGGTTCTAGAAGGGGGCGTGTCTGGGCTAGAGGTAGAAGGTTCTAGAAGGGGGCGTGTCTGGGCTAGAGGTAGAAGGTTCTAGAAGGGGGCGTGTCTGGGCTAGAGGTAGAAGGTTCTAGAAGGGGGCGTGTCTGGGCTAGAGGTAGAAGGTTCTAGAAGGGGGTGTGTCTGGGCTAGAGGTAGAAGGTTCTAGAAGGGGGCGTGTCTGGGCTAGAGGTAGAAGGTTCTAGAAGGGGGTGTGTCTGGGCTAGAGGTAGAAGGTTCTAGAAGGAGGCGTGTCTGGGCTAGAGGTAGAAGGTTCTAGAAGGGGTCGTGTCTGGGCTAGAGGTAGAAGGTTCTAGAAGGGGGCGTGTCTGGGCTAGAGGTAGAAGGTTCTAGAAAGGGGCGTGTCTGGGTTAGAGGTAGAAGGTTCTAGAAGGGGTCGTGTCTGGGCTAGAGGTAGAAGGTTCTAGAAGGGGACGTGTCTGGGCTAGAGGTAGAAGGTTCTAGAAGGGGGCGTGTCTGGGTTAGAGGTAGAAGGTTCTAGAAGGGGGCGTGTCTGGGTTAGCGGTAGAAGGTTCTAGAAGGGGGCGTGTCTGGGTTAGCGGTAGAAGGTTCTAGAAGGGAGGCGTGTCTGGGTTAGAGGTAGAAGGTTCTAGAAGGGGGCGTGTCTGGGCTAGAGGTAGAAGGTTCTAGAAGGGGGCGTATCTGGGCTAGAGGTAGAAGGGGGGTCAGTCAGGAAGCTCAGGGAACCTGTTGGAAGGTTCTAGAAGGGGGCGTGGCCTGGCTACACTGGGTCTCCGTGCTCGGCATTGTGGGTCGGGCAGCGTGCCGATTGTCGGCCCGATTGATGTCGTCAACCCATTGCGGTCCGTAGAATAAGTGTCACCTCCTGAGTTGGTGCATCTCTCAATGAACCCACACTACCACACTGCACACGAGTGCTGAACTAGTCATGAATCGGCACGTTCTATTCACACGACAAAGCTTACTAGTTGGCCGTGTCGGGTGGCGCTGCGACCTCTGGGAGCCGCTTATCGTAGCTCGGGGTCAAACTAAAGTGAAACCCGCTTGTTGTCGGGAGAGGCTCGACGCTGGCTCTGACCCGGGGTGACGATCTCCATACCTCTCCATAACAAAGGCTCAGCCTCTTAAGCCTCACATTACCAAATTAATAAAAAGTGTGCCGTACTTGGCCCTTCCCCCCTCTCCAACCATTATATAAACGGAGTGGTAGCTCTTGTAATCTCTCATTTACTTGATACAGCTGTCGTGGCTGTGACGGTTCCACCTGAAGACGGAAGCTTGTGTTGCCTCCGAAACGTCATGATTTTTATTTTTTATTTTACTTTTATTAATTTTAATGTTTTACCTACATGACTTTACCGAAAAAACCTAAGAATATGAATCCTTGCAGTCACGAAAGCTTCAAATCTAGAATTAATGATCTCCTTACCCGCCCGAGGAAGAGGGGCGGGCCAATCCTGCGTGGTCCAGTTGGACCGCTTGGCCTGGAACTGGTGCCGGTACTCGGAGATCGCCAGCTGGACGCCCTCGGCCACGAGCTTCATGAAGTGCGGCTGCTGCTGGCAGATTTGGCGCTGTGTGGGGGACAGGCCCGGCGCCATGCTGCACAACAGCAGCGGATGCGTGGAGGGGTCCACCCGGGGTGTCCACAATGCCAGCGACCTGCAGAGGGGGGGTGGGGGGGGGGTCACGGTGGCCAGGAGATGTTGACTACCTCGCCTGGTACGCAGGAGGTAGTAGGTTCGATCAAAATCTTGACACCTGCTGCTGTATATTTGGAGTCTGCGTGTCTCTCTCTCTCATCATCACAGTGGCTAGGAGATGTTGACTACCTCGCTTGGTACGCAGGAGGTCGTAGGTTCGATCCAAACCCTGACGCCTGCTGCTGCTGCTGTATATTTGTAGTTTGCGTGTCTCTCTCATCATTATCATCACGGTGGCTAGGAGATGTTAACTACCTCGCCTGGTACGCAGGAGGTAGTAGGTTCGAACCCAACCCTGACGCCTGCTGCTGCTGCTGTATATTTGGAGTTTGCATGTCTCTCTCATCATCGTGGTGGCTAGATATATTTTTAATGACAACATTTATACATTCACGCGATCTAACCCCCCCAAAAAACTCTTGTGGATGATATTGGTCACGAAAGCCGTGCCCGCTACTCGGTGTGAAACCAAACACAAGCAGCCGTATGGGGGGTGTGTGCAAGACGTTAGGTAAGGTTGCTCAAAAATAAATAAACTGAGAAACTTGTGCGCTCATCGCAGAAGAGTGACGAGGAAGACAGCGGCGCTGACCACCAGGCGGCGCTGGCGACTGCCCCCAGCTGTGCGAAGGCGCAGAGTCCCAGCAGCAGCAGCGGCGGCGGCGGGGAGACGGAACCCATCGGAGTTCTCATGGCCAGCGACTCTGTGCAGAAGAGAAGCGGAGCGGGGGTGACGATGTCAACACACCTCGCACGGTACGCAAGAGGTCGTGGGTTCCATCCCGACGATGCCCGCTGCTGCTGCTGCTGTATATTGTGAGTTGTCATGTCTCACTCATCATCGTCGTCATCATCACGGTGGCTGGGAGATGTTAACTTCCTCGCCTGGTACGAGGGATCTAACCCACGAGTGCTTGTGTACCGGGCGAGGGAGTCAACATCTCACTCATCGTCATCATCACGGTGGCTGGGAGATGTTAACTTCCTCGCCTGGTACGAGGGATCGAACCCACGAGCGCTTGTGTACCGGGCGAGGGAGTCAACATCTCACCACCGTGGTCGTGATGAACTCCGACTGCTGATGTCTGTAGCCGACCGACCTTATAACCAGATGAATCCCTGCAGTCACGAAAGCTTTAAATAAAACAATTCTAAATTTAAATTTACGCATTTTGATGTGACGTCACATTTCTCAACCCCACCCCCCACCGTCACAAATGTCTGACCCCCACCCCCAGGTGCGTGACGTCATTTATGGACGGCCCCAAAGACCCCGCGCCACAACCAAGAGCAGAACATGTGTGGAGATAATTCAGTGACGAAAACATTCTAGATTTGAAGCTTTCGTGACTGCAAGGATTCATATTCTTAGGTTTTTTTCGGTAAAGTCACGTAGGCAAAACATTAAAATTAATCAAAGTAAAATAAAATAATTATTTTATTTTACTTTTATTAATAAATAAATATTTTATTCTACTTTTATTAATAAAATTAATAAAAGTAAAATAAAATATTTATTTTATTTTACTTTCATATTCTTAGTTTTTTTCGGTAAAGTCACGTAGGCAAAACATTAAAATTAATCAAAGTAAAATAAAATAATTATTTTATTTTACTTTTATTAATAATTATTTTATTCTACTTTTATTATTAATAAAATTTATAAAATTAATAAAAGTAAAATAAAATACTTATTTTATTTTACTTTCATATTTTTAGGTTTTTTCGGTAAAGTCACGTAGGCAAAACATTAAAATTAATAAAAGTAAAATAAAATAATTATTTTAAAATAAATAATTATAATAATTATTTTAAAATAAAATAATTATTTTATTTTACTTTTATTAATAAAAAGTGTTACTACCTAATAGCTAGTGACTCAATAGTAGAGAAAGTGGGCTCTTAATACTCCACACAAACTTTGTATTTGTGACCCAGCACACAAGCAGAGTGAACAATCCACTCCATTAACAACAGTGTGACATCAACATTGACCCTGAGTGGGAGAGTGTTACTGCCTAGTAGCTAGTGACTCACTAGTAGAGAAAGTGGCTCTTAATACTCCACACAAACTTTGTATTTGTGACCCAGGACACACAAGCTGAGTGAACAATCCACTCCACTAACAACAGTGTGACAACATTGACCCTTAGTGGTAGAGTGTTACTGCCTAATAGCTAGTGACTCACTAGTAGAGAAAGTGGGATATTAAGCTCCACAAATTCTAGATTTGAAGCTTTCGTGACTATAAGGATTCATACTCTGAGGTTAAAGTCACGTAGGAAAAAATAAATAAAACTAAAATAAATAAATAAATTAAATAACTTTATTCTCCCCACAAACTTTGCTTCTGTGACCCAGGACATTGATATTTATACATTTAATAACTATTTTAAATTTTTAAAAACGCGGCGTGCATTTGTGTCATGCCTTCACGTAAAGTCCTGCTCACAAAAGCAAAGTTTGTATGGAATAATATCAATTAAATACACTTTGTAGGCACATAACCAATTTAGCAACACACACACTTTCTAACTCAGGGTCACACTCGTGTTAGGCGTCACCCGCAGTTGTCTCGTTGTTATTGGAACCAATAAATAATAGTTTAGATTATGTCAAGGAGACCCAGGCACTGTATAGGTAAACCCACTAAAATAAACTATAAAAAAATTTTCAAAAAATTTTAAATGTAAACATTTTTTTAAAAAAAATTTTATAAATACATTTTTTATTATTTTTTTTACATTTTTTTATTGAAAGGTGGAAGTGGACGACGTTTCGACCACGAGCCTTGAGCGCGACACACAAGAGAGGAGAGGAATGAAGTTGAATAATAAAACTTTTACTTTCGACACTTGAGCTCCACGCTCACCGCGTGTTGACAAGTTCCCGCGTCAGTGGCGCCTGCTTCGTGCGCGAGGCGATTCCAGAGTTTAGGGACCGCGGCGTTCTTGATTCTCTCAAAGCAATATTTAAATAATAAGACGTCCATTAAAAAAATGTCATTGCTTTTAAAGAGACGCTCAATTGATTGACGCCGATTTTTATTGATTGCTTTATTAATTAATCTTTAATGTACTTATTTTTTTTTCGAGTGATGTTCACAAACGGAGGCAGGCGCGCCTGAGACGCGCGGCGCCTGATTGGTGTGCGAGCCGATTCCACAATTTAGGGACCGCGGCGTTTTCACCTTGCACAACAATTAACACGCCAATTTTAACACAGTGTGCAAAATGTTTAATTGATTAGACACCAGGAAGTAGACTAAACATTTTATTACAAGATATTGGCCACGACACTACAAAGGAATATCACGTGAAGTGAAAGCGTTGAAAAATATAAAGGGGCAGAAATTATTCCATCGAGAAAACAACATTTTTATTCAAACCCTGTACACATGCAACGTTGAGCCAATTTGGTAAACAGGTGTTCACACACAGCGTGGTAAACATATGTGTACACACACAGACACCCAAAGAGACCCATAGAGACCCACAGAGACACACAGAGACCCATAGAGACCCATAAAGACCCACAGAGACACACAGAGACACACAGAGACCCACAGAGACACACAGAGACACACAGAGACACACAGAGACCCACAGAGACCCATAAAGACCCACAGAGACACACAGAGACACACAGAGACACACAGAGACACACAGAGACCCACAGAGACACACAGAGACACACAGAGACCCACAGAGACCCATAAAGACCCACAGAGACACACAGAGACCCACAGAGACACACAGAGACCCATAGAGACCCACAGAGACACACAGAGACCCATAAAGACCCACAGAGACACACAGAGACCCACAGAGACACACAGACCCATAGAGACCCACAAAGACCCACAGACACCCATAGAGACTCACAGAGACACACATACACCCATAGAGACTCACAGAGACCCACAGACACCCATAGAGACTCACAAAGACACACATACACCCATAGAGACACACAGACACACACATACACCTATAGAGACTCACAGAGACACACAGAGACTCACAGAGACCCATAGAGACCCACAGAGACCCACAGAGACACACAGAGACACACAGAGACCCATAAAGACCCACAGAGACACACAGAGACCCACAGAGACACACAGAGACCCATAGAGACCCACAGAGACACACAGAGACCCATAAAGACCCACAGAGACACACAGAGACCCACAGAGACACACAGAGACCCATAGAGACCCACAAAGACCCACAGACACCCATATAGACTCACAGAGACACACATACACCCATAGAGACTCACAGAGACCCACAGATACCCATAGAGACTCACAGAGACACACATACACCCATAGAGACACACAGACACACACAGACACCTAGAGACTCACAGAGACACACAGAGACACACAGAGACCCACAGAGACACACAGAGACCCATAGAGACCCACAAAGACCCACAGACACCCATAGAGACTCACAGAGACACACATACACCCATAGAGACTCACAGAGACCCACAGACACCCATAAAGACTCACAGAGACACACACAGACACCCACAGAGGCACACAGACACACACCTGCTGGGTCTGTCACGTGACCTCCTCCTCATGCACCTAGCCTGGCACAGCAGTACAACCCATGGCACCTGCTGGGTCTGTCACGTGACCTCCTCCTCATGCACCTAGCCTGGCACAGCAGTACAACCCATGGCACCTGCAGGGTCTGTCACGTGACCTCACACTCACAGGAGCTGTCAGGCTTTCTTCACACAGAGGGCTCGTTCACACTCACAACAGCTGAGTCAGCTTTCTTCACACAGAGGGCTCGTTCACACTCACAGGAGCTGTCAGGCTTTCTTCACACAGAGGGCTCGTTCACACTCACAGCTGCTGAGTCAGCTTTCTTCACACAGAGGGCTCGTTCACACTCACAGCTGCTGAGTCAGCTTTCTTCACACAGAGGGCTCGTTCACACTCACAGCTGCTGAGTCAGCTTTCTTCACACAGAGGGCTCGTTCACTCTCATAGCTGAGTCAGCTTTCTTCACACAGAGGGCTCGTTCACACTCACAGCTGAGTCAGGCTTTCTTCACACAGAGGGCTCGTTCACACTCACAGCTGCTGAGTCAGCTTTCTTCACACACAGGGCTCGTTCACGCTCACAGGAGCTGAGTCAGCTTTCTTCACACACAGGGCTCGTTCACACTCACAGCTGAGTCAGCTTTCTTCACACAGAGGGCTCGTTCACTCTCATAGCTGCTGAGTCAGCTTTCTTCACACAGAGGGCTCGTTCACACTCACAGCTGCTGAGTCAGCTTTCTTCACACAGAGGGCTCGTTCACACTCACAGCTGCTGAGTCAGCTTTCTTCACACAGAGGGCTCGTTCACTCTCATAGCTGAGTCAGGCTTTCTTCACACAGAGGGCTCGTTCACTCTCATAGCTGCTGAGTCAGCTTTCTTCACACAGAGGGCTCGTTCACACTCACAGCTGAGTCAGGCTTTCTTCACACAGAGGGCTCGTTCACACTCACAGCTGCTGAGTCAGGCTTTCTTCACACAGAGGGCTCGTTCACACTCACAGCTGCTGAGTCAGACTTTCTTCACACAGAGGGCTCGTTCACACTCACAGCTGAGTCAGCTTTCTTCACACAGAGGGCTCGTTCACACTCACCGCTGAGTCAGCTTTCTTCACACAGAGGGCTCGTTCACACTCACAGCTGCTGAGTCAGACTTTCTTCACACAGAGGGCTCGTTCACACTCACAGCTGCTGAGTCAGACTTTCTTCACACAGAGGGCTCGTTCACACTCACAGCTGAGTCAGCTTTCTTCACACAGAGGGCTCGTTCACACTCACAGCTGAGTCAGCTTTCTTCACACAGAGGGCTCGTTCACACTCACAGCTGCTGAGTCAGACTTTCTTCACACAGAGGGCTCGTTCACACTCACAGCTGCTGAGTCAGACTTTCTTCACACAGAGGGCTCGTTCACACTCACAGCTGCCATATTATTAACATTCCTTCCCTTTATTCTGACCTTACTCCCTCCCTTTGATGCTGCTAATCCTGCACAATGCACGGGCATAATGACTTTAAACCCCTCGCCAAGCCTCCTACGCATTTCACAAGTAGTGCTAATCGCATATCTGCATTTCCCATAAATATGCTAAATTCCTCTTGATATGCAAATTATTTTGTCAAGACGCTCTTCCCCCTCCATCCCAGCTTCAATAGTCGCTCCAAGCCTGGAGCGTGACATTCAGACGCTGTCGCCTCGACGGACCTGTTCTCCACCTGAGGACGGCTGCTTGCGTTGTGGCCGAAACGTCGTGAGAATTATTGTATTGTTTTATTTTTATTTTATTACTTCCCTTTCTACGTGATGACTTTACCGAAAGAACCAAGAAGATATTGACAGATGGTAAAGGTCAAACGTGCAGCACTGCAATGTCTCGCTTATGCCGCCGCTGCCGCCCGAAAGACCTCCGCCGAGAGGGAGCTGAAAATGGAGCTTGGCCTACTCTTCCACACGCACCTGAATGTGGCCCACGCTCCACCTCGCCCCGCATGAACACATTATTACCGGATATCGCCATCGTGCACTCCTCTCAGAGGACGTTTCTTGTTCGCATTCTGACCGCAAGCATCGTGCTTAGCGCAAGAGATGATTCCTCGTGACAAGGTTTCAGTTCGGTGTCCCGACACACACATCTCGACGCAGCTGTTTTGTTGCCAGAAAAAAAGAGGAAACCTATTCTCATCACGCGATCGAATCAAGACTTTTAATTCGTACAAAAACACCCAACACCACGTCGCACCCCCACCCCACCGGCTCCGAGAT